GTACTCTCGCAATCACGATTCGTCATAACAAACGGGAGAATCGTTTGTGCAAACGAGTTTCATCCTCCCAAGAAACGCGACAGGAAGCTCCCTGTATTTCAGTGGCTTTGAAGAGATACCCGCGTACCCTTGTCTCGCCAACGGGACCTGTAGGAAATTGCGCCGATAGTTTCACAGCAACAGGTGAGTAGTAGTGCATTTATCTCGAGATGAGCCCTTTTTTGCGTGCTTCTTTTAAACGTGTCCTTATCTTTTTTCTTTCTTACTAAAAGATGTAATTGCATCATCATAATTGTATATTTTTCTACGCGCGATAAAATTTAAATTCTTCTTGCACTTGTAATTTAACATTACAAAATGATCAATCTTGAATTTTTACTTGTCGGATGTCCACGCCTTCTACTGCATTACTCGATGATCGCAGTCAAACTAAAGATGAGAAAACTTGTTTCGAGCAGTAACGCATTACAGATTCGATTGAGTGTTTACATTGATAATGGATGAAGCAAAGTGCACTGAGAAAAAAGTTATACTAATGGTAACAAAAAAATAAAATTATTCACAGATAGTCGTTTTTAATTAGACAATTTTGTTAAGATGGCAAAATGTAATATTTTTTTGGTTAGACAATCAAAATTTGGTAAATCTTTTGAATTAATAAAACGGTATTATTTGGTTACTCACATTTTGTAAATAGTAATATAAAGTTAGGTCGCAGTTACAAAATAAATTATCTTTTAGTAACTTTAACAAAATAATCTGTTATGATAAAAAACATTTTTGTTAAATATAGTACGGAACGATATGATACAGAGTTAACCAAATAATTTTTTAATAAATATTTAAAGTTGGTTAGTATTACTAAATATTTTGTATGGATAACAGCTGTGGTTCGACGCATGCATGTCACTGCGTATTGCGTTAGGAAGCGTCCAGAAGCTTCTGATATAAGATATTGCAATAATTTGAAGAAATAGTTATATATACAAATTACACAAATTTATTGTAAGACATAGAATTTTAATATGTTTTACGTAATATATAATTAATATATACAAATATATTACATTAATATTTAATACCGCAAATATATTTTAAAAAATCTGTATACAGGGTGGCCCACGTTAAATGTTACAAGCTAATAACTCTAAAAATATTTGTCAAATCAAAAAATTGTTT